CAGCCTTTGAGTGGAAATACACCAGTGATCAGAGTCTGTTTTCCATACTCATTGTTTTATTAATATCTTCCATACAAACAACTAAAAAAACCCAGGGAAAATAAAAATAAAGAAAAAATATGCCACCATGATGCTCCCTGCTGCTCAGTGATATTCCTCCCTCCCAGGGCTCTATGAAGGACACACAGACATAGGTTAGAATTAGCAAGTAGGGGCTAACTGCCATGGAACAGCTCACCTCAGAAATACAAGGCTCCATGTGTTACACCTAGAATTATAGAATATCAGGGTTGGAAGGGACCTCAGGAGGTCATCTAGTCCAACCCCCTGCTCAAAGCAGGACCAATCCCTAGACAGATTTTTGCCCCAGATTCTTAAATTGCCCCCTTAAGGATTGAATTTATAACCCTGAGTTTAGCAGGTCAATGCTCAAACCACTGAGCTATCCTTCCTCCCCCCCTCCCCCCCATTGGTGTGTGGCAAGTACAGCGCCCTGGATTCTTCCCTGCCCTGGTACAAAACCTGTCACAGGATGGAGCGGGGCGGCAATATGCCTGCCCTAGCCTGAGGCTCTTGGGAGTCGGGCTGTCCAAGATGCAGGTCAGAGCAGGCCTGAAGGCTGCCTTACATTGCAACTGCTGCGATAGCCTTCCAGGGCCATTGCAGCGCTACAGAATAGCCAGGGGATAAGCATGTTCTGACCCTACCCTGTCCATCCCTGACACCTCCCTGATATGCTACCTGTGTCCATACCTGGCAGAAAGGTGCCCTACCACTGGGGTCTCCCCGCAGGGCCTTGTAGCTGCTTGGGTTAGTATAACCAGCCCAAAGGGGCCAAAAGGTACTGATGGTTTCCTTCCAGCAGAGGTATTTTTATCATTATCACTAATGTACTCATTTGGGTGCTGGATCATCCCAGTTCTGTGGGCTCAGCTCTTGTTCTTTTTAAGCTAGACAGTTAACTTTAACATGCCAAAACTTCCCTTTCCTACAAAGGGCTCATATGTAGAGATTGGTACCCTGCAGCACTCTGTCTGCACTGACCCTTGCTTTGCAAGTGGAGCCCGGATCTTCAGTAATGTGCTTCTTCCCTAGAGGATGTAGAAAGAAAGACCCCTGATTTATTAGCGTCTAGAAACTATGGGATGCGTAAAACAAATTCAGCATGGGAACAAAGCAAAAATACAAACACTGTCATAGCAACTGGCTTATGGCTGAGTGAAGGAACCAATTATTTCCATTAATCAACATGCTGAGGAGGTTTAAAATGCAACTTTGAAAAATCAGGCTAGATCTCAGAATTTTTGTTTATAAAAGCTTGGTTGCCAAGGGAGAATGTGAATCACTGTCACGGGGGATTTTTCAGGACAGACACTAGACCCGTGTTCCTAAGGTAGAATGAAATCAACCCTGCCCTCATGCAGGTAGACAGACTGGAATAGTGTCTCTTCCATCCCCAAGCAAGGGCCAGGTCTTCAACAGGTCAGTTGGCATAACTCCATTGAACAGTGACTCACACCAATTGAGGAGCTGGCCTTCCAGCTGAAAGGGAAGCTTAGCTTGGTTTGAAACTGACCTTCAGAGAAGTACTCATACCACAGTGAGGCTAGGCAGGATAAATGCCTATCCAGACAGACAGATGATACTGAGGACAGAGAGAAAATGAGGAGAGGACTGTTGTTGTGTTCAGTTGGCCCTTTCCTTCCCTCTCCCTCAAGCTCCATTAGTTCAGACAGGAACCATGACAGTCAGGGCCAGCTCTACCATTTTTACAGCCACAAGCAAAAAAAAAAAGCCGCTCGGACTGTGCCGCCCCAAGAATGGACGGAATGCCGCCCCTTAGCATGTGCCGTCCCAGGCACGTGCTTCCTCCGCTGGTGCCTGGAGCTGGCCCTGATGACAGTAACTTGGAGGGGCAGTTCCGTTCTGAATGGGATAACTGTGTACAAATGTCATCATGGCCTCTATGTTAATTATGTCTCTGACTCAGGTCCAAAATGCTCCCTTTGCAAGCCCTAGCTGCCCATGTCCCAAACTCAGCCTGGGTCCTGAGAGTCAAGCTGGGTTCGTTCTGGGTCAGGCATCATCATCACCAGTAATAGAGATTCACTGTCTTCCAAGGTGTTGCACAGGGAGGAGTATGGAACCGAGTAACAAAGGTTGTCGGTGTTTTGTGAGTCAGAATAGACTCCAGCTCCCCCTACCATAGCTGGGTTTCAGTCCCTCTAGTCAGCAGCTCTGACTCTGGATACTCAGAGGGAGCAGTTTAGTGGAGTAAGAAGGAGTCACATTACCTGTATTGCCACCCCCAAACATTCAAACTAATGATCCAGGCCCCCAAGACTCAAGAGAGTTTTATAAATAAATACATCTGGAGTTATTTTCTTTCTCTTCTGGTTTCTCAGCCTTTGGAGGGCACTTGAGTCAGGTTTTCAGACTTTTCCTTGCTCTCATTGGGGCAATGAAAGCTGCGATTCTCATGTAACCCCTGACCCTAGAACTGGGGCTGTAAGAAAAACACCCACTATTGCAAGAAGTGTCCCAGGTCACACTGGGGAGCAGAAGCACACTGTCTGGCTTAAAGCTAGCTCATGTATGTCTACACGTGTTACAATCACACCTCCCACTGTCTCATTGCCAAGTCTCCCTTCACAGCTGTGTGATGCTGGTTTGTGCCCCTAGACGCTGCAGACAAGGGACAACTGTAAGTAACTTACGCTAGCCCCTTTTCATCACTTGATTACTCAGACATGCTTTTTACTGCATGCTACTATCTATTGCCATTACATGGGATTAGATGTAGCCTTTTATAAACTGACACTCTGGTGCTGCCAGTAACAGGTGGCACAGGATCAGAGCTGCTACTGGAGCTGAGAGGTTAAAGCTGGCTAATGCAAATGCTATTAAGGCTGTTGCCACTGACAAAAGCAGAACAATACACTCCTGAAAGTCCTGCCACAATTACCTCTTTCATGGGCACTGAGGCGGCACAGCCACAAAAGCAGTTGTTCTATTCAACTGTCCGGGGCCTTGTTTGTTATTTTACCATCTTGCCTGAATAAGTTATGTCTGTTGGGATCTGTGCCGGTGCAATACCAGAGGAATGTACACTGTGTTGAGTAGCTGGAGGGGCAGGAGATGCGGTGGCTCAGGAATGAGGTCTGTTGGCAGCCTGGGGGACTGGACAATTGAAGGTGCTGCAGGCCAGAACTGAGATGCACTGACAGAGTTTCTGAGGTGCACAGAGCTAGAGCAGAAGGGGATGCTGCAGGCTAGGATTGAGATGCATTGGGAAAGTTGTATGGGTGCCCCAGAACTGGGATAACAGGAGATGCAACCGCTCAAGTCAGGCTTGAAATACATGGGCAGAGCTATGTAGGAGGAACCCACGAGTGGAGCAGCGAGGGATACTACAAGGTCAGTGCTGAGGTGCACTGGCAAAGCTATGGGGGGTCCTCAGAACTGGAGCAGCAGGGCATGCACAAGAGCAGCAGGTGGGCCGAGCGTGCATTGGCAGAGCAGTGTGTGGGCCCAAGCTTGAAATAGCAGGGAGTGCAAGAGAACAGGTGAGGACTGAGATGTTTTGATGCTATGCAGGGGAAGTTCACCGGGCCCCTATGCACAGTGGGGCTAGCTCAGGCCACTTCAGATAGTTCTTTAATTCCATGAGCATGAAATGCATTTATATTTTAAAACAAATAAAATGTAAAAGCATTAATCTGTTGATGAGCACAGAGGGTTAGACCCTTAGATCCCCTTCATATGTTACTCTTTTATGCCCTGTCTTTTTGGCAAATCTGAAAGAACCCTTAAATCCCTCCTCCTCTTGCAATAACCTGGAAGCTGAAGAAGATGGCTGTGTTTAACTTGGTGCGGCTGAGTTTACTGAACTTAGTGTGAGAGCCAGAGGGTGCAGTGTTATTTACAGTGACTTCCTTCCCAAACCAGCAGTGAGCTTTATATAACACAGTCCAGCCTGACATCTCATTTGTCTGGGCTCTGCTGGGAGATCCTGGAAAAGCTAGTGGAGGGTCCCGGCCAGTCTTTTCCATTAGGTTCTAGTTAATAGGAGTTACATGCATGGACGGATCCAAGACTAGAGACCTTCTCTCTGATTGCTTCTTTCCTTTGCCAGCCAAGGAACATGGAGCCTTTAAGATGCTGTGCTCCCTGCCTCCCACAACATTAAGTGGTAATAAGAGCTGGGAACACTCAGCACTTTGCAGGAGCCAAGCATGCCAGCAAAGCCCATTAAGACGGTGAGCTCTTTGGGGCAGGGACTGTCTTTGCTCTGTGTTTGTCCAGTGCCTAGTGCCATGGAGTGCCATGACTGGGGCTCCTACATGCTACTGCAATACAAATAATAAGCAATAAGAATGACAAGTTTGAGAGAGTTATATTCGGGGTGGGGAGGCATTTTCTTGCCCCGACCTTGTTTTCAGGGGGCTTAAACCACACCCAAAACCCCCTCGCTCTTTGGGATGAAATTTCTTACACTCGTTCACAGGCACAATGTCATTCGAACGGTTGCTAAAATTCCAGCTGCCTGTTGCCAGAGTCCTGGTGAAAACCCCTTGACCCTTCGTGCTAGTTCTGCCTTGTTCCCCCTCTGGCTGAGGCTGTGCCGCAGGAGTTTTCCCTGCAGACCTGAAGGAAGTACAGAAATCCTGTCGCTCCCTTTTCTGTGCTCTAGCAGGCCCCCTCAGAAGGAAACCACCTCACTCTATGAATATTTTAAGAGCTCAGCGGGGCTGGTGCGTGTACTTTGCAGTTGTTATGGATCTTGTCCCAATAGGGGAGTTCTAATAATAGATCCTGAACTGTGGAATGAGAGGGCAAGGGGCTGATTCTTAGAAGAAAGCTCTTTGTCTATACAAGAGATTGTACAAATTCACTCATGTCCCCGTAGGGTATTAAAGGGGAAATGAAGCGGGATGTAATGCCTGTTGAGAGCAGCTGATCACAGGCCCCTTTTCCCCTACAAATCCACAATGCTATGCTTTTAAGAAAGATGCACCTTTTATTCAGACAGATCGGCATCACCGGTTCCTTCGGATTCAAAACTTCAAGACTTCGTAGAATTTCAGGCCAGAGGGGACCATTAGATCATCTTATCTCCCATGTAGCACAGGTCATAGACTCTCAACCAATTACTGAGCCCAATAATGTGGATGCACCTGTCCCTTGTGCCTTGCTGTCCATGCGTCATTCGTACTGATCACACTTGGCTCTGATGAAAAGTTGGCCCAGACACAGCCTTCGGGGTCGCATTTTCCTATCTGCGCAGCCTGGAAACCCCATGTTTCCTCAGGGAGCTCTGACTTCTTCTCTCCTCCTGTCTGACAGAAAAAGGAGTAGGCAGCCATCACGATCAACATCCCATCCCCGCTGCAAAAAAGAACCATGTTGTAACTGGGGCTGGGGACAACTCTGGTGGAACTCGTCCCCACCCCCATCCCCCAAGACAGCTAAAGTTGTAGTGCAGATGGACTCTTCATTAACTGGATTGTGGAGCAATGCTCTGGGCTCCCTGGGTGAAAGGTGCTAGAGAGGCACAACGTAGGGTTGTTACCCGAGTGATGCGTGGCTGCTTGAGGAGGTGGAGGAGGAGAAGCTTTGGCAGGGGACAAAGCACTATTAACCCTGGTGGGCTGGAAGTTCAGCTGCAGTGATGTTGGGGCCTCGTGTCTGCAGGTGCAGACTAAGACTCGGATTCAACAAAGCCCTTTTGCACATGTGTAAGTGCTTTGCTGAATCAGGGCCTAAACAGCGCAAAAATCAGCCATGGTGACAGTACAAATCAAAGGCTCCCAGCCAGCCGACGCACCATCAGTCACTGGGTACTGTGCTCCTACGCGCAAGGAAGGCAGCCAAGCGTCAAAGTGGGGGACCAAGGAGGCGCTGCCACAAGGCACTGAGCTTCCAACTCCCAAGCCACATGATGATCCCCTTTTAAAACCCCTCTGCAACACATACAGCGTATCACCACCCCAGAGCTTGCTGGCTCTTTCCCCAGAGTGCCTAGCAATCACTGCCCCAGGCAACAGCAGCATGCATGGGGATTGAGAATGGCCTTTCATCTTGGCTTTTCTAGCTGTCCCAAGGACACTGAACTCAGACCACTGACACCGGGAGAAGCATGTAAGGGGAGGGGACAGGATTTTCCCTTCTCGCAAGAAGTCAGACAACTCATATCCAGCATGGTCTCCATTGGCCAGTGCAACTGGTTGGGCTGTACCAACCGCCCCAGCAGGCAGGCAAGAGTTCCAGTGAGAACTTTCAGAGCCAGCAGCAGTTCAAAGTTGGGCCAGGCCCGCTTGGGGAGTTAACTCCCAACTGCCAGGTATTTTAAGGTAGGGGGGGTAGCTGTAGCTCCCCATAATGTTTCCCCAGGTGAAATGAGATGGCTGTGTTTGCTTCAGCTCCCATTCCCGACCTAGCCCCTGTACTCCATTGTAGTGCCAAAGGGCCCAATTCTCAGTGGCACACAACTCTGACAGTGGAGATGAGCCTAAATATAGGTGGGAAGGCCCCCTTCCTCCCTCAGGAACACTTGCTATGCAGAGGGTCTCCCTGACTGCTGCAGAGCTGACATAAGCCTTGCTTTCAGCCTCTTGCATACCGAGTGTGTGCATCAAGGGTGTGCACTGCCCTATGGCTATTCTCTGGTTCCTAGGGCCCAGGGGAAGCAAAGTAGAAACTATAGCAGCCCGGAGGTTGCTCTAATTTACACCCGGGGCCAGGCAGCCTCCTACATAGCCCCAGAATACAGGAGACACAAAGGTGGTTTAAAGCCACCTTCCCCCCTCATCCACCCTCCCTCCCTGCCCCAAGCACAAGAACAGAGCAGCCAGGTTCAAAGTATCTCCCTTTGTAAAGGAAGGTGGGTTTTTTGTGCCTACCTCTGTGGAGAAATCTAGCATTGCGTTTAACTTTTGAACTTCCCTCCTTCCAGTCAGCTGAGGAGAAGCTGCTTGATCAGGGTGGAATGTCTAAGCCTGAGGAGAGAAAAGGGAACCCTCTCAAAAAATGCCTGAAGTGCCAGGTAGAGTTGGACAGAGCCTCTTTCAGTATGCAGGGCCTGTGTCCTTGCTGCAATACCAAGGCAGGAGAGGACCAAAAGAATCAGAAAGGCAAGAGGTAAGGAAGCAAGCTTAACAAGGGGAAGCAACACTTGAGTGCAGTGTAGCTATTTTATCCACTGCCATCTGGCAGCAGCACCTAGGGCTGTGCTTGTATCAGTAACGTTGATGTAGCCTAGACGTGGACGTGGCTGTTCCCTGCCCCAAAGAGCTTCCGGTGGAACTTCCGCAAAAACAATATCCCCGGCCATAGGCCAGGGACAGAGGCAATGGCCACAAGGTTTGGAACAGCGGCTTTGTGAAAGCAGGGAGATTTGAAGAGGGAGGTGAAGGCTGGCTCATGGAAATGGAAGTGTGTTTAGCTACCCAGGGCAGCCTGGAGGCAGGGGCAAAGCAGAGAGAGGGATTTGGCAAAGGGAGCAGCTGGCTGAGAGAACTGGGAGGAGCGCAGAGGTGCGAGACAGGGTGAAGGGTGAAATAATAATAATGTAGATTGTCAGAGCATGGGATCAATATGAACTAATTTATCCTCCCACACCCCTGCTACGCAATGTCCCCATTTATAGAGGGGGAAGCTCAGGCAAAAGGGAAGTGCCTTGCCTAAAGTCACACAGAAAGCCACACCCACACTGGGAGCCCCTAGGCCTGTGCTTAATCCACTGGACCACACTGCTTCTGCAAACGAAAGCAGGGAGGCAGTCAGGGCTAGAGTTGTGAAGAGCCTTGAGGGGGATGCGTGTCCAAATCCAAAGGTGGAATCTTGCTTCTCACATGACTGAAGGAGATGAAACGCAGTGTACGTGGGTGGGGGAAAGGCTTGCTGAGAGTGGACACCTCTGTTTTACTTTAAAGGTGTATATTGGTACAAACCAGATTTTGCTGGAGGAATCTGTACATTAGTGTGTGCAGTCATCTCTTTTGGCCTGACCGGTTAGACAGCATTCAGGGTCTTGCAGGTTGTCGCCTTTAGGAGAAGAAATCAGAGACAGTCAGGTATTTCTTTATGTACACTCTTTGTAAATAAACAGGATTAAATTGCAGCAAGGGAGGTTTAGGTTGGACATTAGGAAAAACTTCCTAACTGTCAGGGTGGTTA